ATCTCCCCATCACCAAATATGCTCTGTCAACGCCACTTTCGAATCACTGTTTACTCCAGTTGTTTCCCTTTGCTGCCCTTCTCCCACCCTAGGAGTCTGGCCAGCTCCTCTGTTTTCTCCTTTCTTCATTTGACTTCTCTCTGGTCTGTGTGTGCTGAAGTGTTGGGATGTTATTTGACTGTATTCAGAAATTAATTGAAAACTAATTTCTCCTCAGGCAGAAACATGGATACCAGTATATATTTTTGTGAAAAAAACAAAGCTCACCTCATATCCTGTTGCAGAGCCTGGCGGCCATGCCCTGGTGTTCCTCCTGACCATGCTCAGATTACACAACTGTTTTGGTTGCTCTCACCTTTAGCGCTGCCTTGTGATGAGCTGCATACCCTCACTTTAGGGATGAGCACACAAGCTTATTAAGCAGGTCACCTCCTTCAGCACCACTCGACCCAGAAGAAAGGATTGAACGGATATCCCTACCAGAGCCCATGTCCTGTAAGCTCACCCATATGGTGGATTTGGAGGCACACAAATGAGGGCAAAAGATGGGAGTATTTGTCATGGCAGTTTTTGGGTCCCCTCTAGTGTACCTGGTCCTTGTCTAGAAGGGAAAAGGCTGCAATTCCTGCCACAGGACAGCACCCTGCCAATATGTTCCCGGTAGGAAGAGCAGTGCTTCCTTTTGTCATGCAACCAACCATCAGATGTACCCAACTGGCCCACTGTCTCCTTCATCCCAAACTACTAAGCGCAAATTCAAAATGTAAGCCAACAGTTACATCATCGTGACAAGACTGTTTACAGTGGGAAGCTGAAAGGCTTCTATAGTTTAAGTCAATAATCTGGTGACCATGTGGAGAGTAGTCTATAAAAGCTGAAGAAAATCAGATCCTTGAGGATATTCCCAGGAAATCCTCTGGCTGCAGTCCTACTAGGGAACTGGTTGTACACAGGACCAGCTATATAACTAGTGGAGCCCAATACAAAGAGAAAATGCAGGGCCCCAGGCAAGGGTGAGGAAGTCACTCTCTCCTTCCCATTGACCACTTCCCCGATCTGCAAATGCTTGACACCCAAGAGATCGAAACCCTGCTCAGAGACATGCTTGGTGCTTGGATGGGGGTGGGTGAGAAGCCCCTGCCAAGCCACCTGCCAAACACACCATCGCACTGCAGGCCTGGTGCTGGGATGCTGCCATCGGGCCCTGCCCTGGGATACCACAGGATATGCTCAACCCTAATCCTCCCCACATGCACACCCAGGTATCCACAGGGGAGGAGGATGCTGGAGGGAGACGAGCCTCCCCTCACCAATGCGACCTGGTCATTGCTCCTGGTGGAGGCTGGCAGCGGTCTGGGGCATAGGTGGGGAGACGGAGGCTAACCAGAGCCTAGAGCATCAGGGGGTAGCAAGCAGGGAGCCAAAAATCTACCCTAGGCAGGTGGGGAAGCCACAGGAGGCAAGATGTGTGTAAGTCAAGACTCCAAGTCCTCCCTCTACACGTGCTCCATTGTCCATTGGACTTCAATTATCAAACAAAAGTTCAAAGATAAAATTATTATTAATTTAAAGATAGCAAACATGGAGCATTAAACCCCAAGCAGGAGGCCTTTCTTAGTATGGAGTCCTATGCTACTGCACAGGTGGCACATCCTGACTGCAAAAAGTGGAAGGTTCCCATAATATGGGAGACCTTGTTGCGTAAGTGAAACAGCAATGGACTGGAATGAAGGGGCTTTTGCCTACTGTTGGCTTGACCACTATCTGGTTACCCATGATGTCACTACACTTCTTTGAGCCTCAGTTTTCTCATCTACAAAATAAGAAACTTTTCATGATCTGTCGCACTAAGTTGGAATCTCTAGGAGTGAGACTTCAGCATCTGTACTTTCACACAGGTCTCCAGGCTTTTGCTCTCCAAAGTATGGCGCACAGACCAGCAGTGTTAGTGTCACCTGGGAGTGTGTTAGAAATGCAGACTATCAGGCCTTGCCCCACACCTCCTGAGTCAGAATATTACTGTTCAACAAGATCCCCAGGTGATTTGAACGCACACTAAAGTTTGGGGAGCACTGGTGTCGATGACTTTGATGATCAGCCAGGTATGAGAACCATCAATGTGGAATCTCTAAGACCTCATCCAGTCACCAACACTGTAATTTTACATGACAACTAAACACCAACAGCAGTTAATGCCCACATTCAGGAATTAGGTAAATTCATGAAGGAGGGTCTTGCTTTCATTTATGTCTTAAGTCCGAAACGTGTGTTTGTTTAAATGGTTTCATTCTGTTCTCATTACAGTCCTTAGTGACTGCCTGCTCATAATAATTGATTGAATCTTCCACTGTGTTTAGGAAAAAGAGGAAGGGGTCTTACATCAATATTTGCACCAACGAGTCTCTGTAGTTTAAGCACAGGACTTCCTTTAAACTTAAAGTACATTTGTTTATTAATTATTAATAATTGTTACTATGATGATTTTATGACAGCATTTTTCCAACTTCAGACTAGTTTCTCTTTAGTCTTTAGCTTCAACATCTATATTATGTTTCTAAAAGCATCCGATTGCATTAGATGAAAGTTATCCTGAAATTTTACCCTGTATCACTCTTTGGAAAATATGCTAATTTCCATGGAAACTGGCCATAAGTCTCTGACCAATTTTCCGTATTATGCGTTTTTTTATGCTCAGATTCTCTTCAGACTGCCAATGAGTGCTGACTATAGGACTCTCACTGCTCTAAACATTCTTCTTGGAGCCCACATTGTGTATCTTTCAACATGAAAAATATCAGGAAGCAATTTTTTCTCTCCTACAGTTTATGTTGATTTAAAGAACAAAACATTCTTGTGAGTTCCATGGATAAAAGGCGTGAGATGATGAGTTTTCGGCCACTGAGCTCTTAGAGCCCTGATTCTTTCATTTTGAAGCTTCTTGGAGTTGAGATACTTCTTATGATGGATGTAAGGGGGAGGGTGTGGAACAATTTGGTAAGTAGCACCACTCTGCAAGAATTACTGGCTCAGAGCCCAGGGAGTATCTTGGCAGGCTGGCTTAGAGTGGAATGGGTTTTGTTCTTTCCCGGCTCACTTTTTAAGTATCTGCTGAGAGGATTTCAGACCTTCCATATAGCTAACATAGCCCACAATTCTTTTGAAAATTTGAGAATATGTCTAGTGGGTTGAAGTAGTACGTTTTTGGACCTACTTTCTCTCTTTTTACTTTAAATATAAATTACTGAGTATAAAAGCATAGTAGGTGAAGGATTAGAGAGAGGGTCAGAAAGACCCTCAACCACTGCTTTCTGATATGAATGAAGAGGGTGTTGGCCTATGAGCAGGTAAGACTAGGTTGTTTCAAAATTATCGTGGCCCTTTCTCTCCTTGCTACTAGAAAGTACAGAACTACCGTACACCCAAACAACAGGAGTGTCTGCACCCCCTTGGCTCTCCTCTGATTGTGCCCCTTCCTCACAGAGTAAGGAATCCACAGGACCAAATGGATGTGGTCCATACAGAGTACACACTCCCAGGCCCCCTTCTTCTAGACCAGACTTCAGATACCTGGGGAACTGGAATTTCCACCCAGACTGGCCTGGAAACAACTCCAGAGTCTGTGTGGGCCTCTTTCCTGAGGTAGACTGTGATGCTCACGTGTCTTCAGGCCAAAGGAAGGCCAAGGTGCAGCTGTTGGCAGGGAGGGGTTGGATGGAGTGTGGCTATGGGGCCCAGAGTGCCTACACAGTTATGCCTAAGATCTGTCAGGGTGCAAGACCGAGACAAAAGTGGGAACAGAGGGGACAGGATGTGATTCACATCTTAGTGTGGAAATCCACAGAGTCCAAGAGTTCTCGATTCAAAGCTGGCCTTGTGAAGGTAGATTTCTCAGGATACAAGGATAGCATACATTTTTACAGTTTGTTAGGTTGATTTGTAACTTTCAAACACTTAGATTTATAGTATATGGACCTCTATTTATACATGTGCCCTAAAACCCGCAGTGTTAAAACCAGATCTGGTGATGAGAAATATGTGCAAACAGGCACATATTCTCATGAGGCCAGGCTACATTGTGACTGAAGCACAAGGAACGTGAAAACATCACACTCGTGTTTGAATTTCAGCTCTGCGACTGTTCTTTCACCTCTCGAAGTCTGAGTTTCCTCATTTCTAACATGAGGATGATAATGCCTAGCACACAGATTTTTTTTTAAATAACAATTACGTCAGTAAGAGGTTTTAAATATATAAATAGATACGGATGTCCTGTGATGGACTATATCTCTATCTATCTCTGTCTGTCTACCAAGAGAGAAAGAGAGAGAACAGATCCCGAGAAGGTACAAGACATATTAACATATCTGTGTGTCAGCAGCTAATCTTTCCCTTTAAGAATTTTCTTGTAGAGTTATCTACTCAGAGGCACAAAGTTTCTCCTGACTAATGCATATTAACTCGGTTAAATTTCAACTTTAGAACATCAACAATTCCTCCCATTTTAGCGACCTATGGAAATCTACCCTTCCTCTCTCCGGCACCAGCGTATTCTGGGATGGATTTTACATCCCAGTTTACCTGCTTATTACTGCTTCTCGTACAGAGAAATCCCAAATAAATTTACACAGATTTTCACACTGTTCTCTTAGCCTAAATCATAACATTTATTCTTGAACACAAATGGAAAAACCATACCTTTTTTAATAAATATATTGGAATATTAACCAGCAACTGTACTGGACACTTCCATCACATGACAGAGCATTACCTTTAATTATTTACAGGGCTCACCTTCCCGCTCCCCTTCTCACATGAACTACCTACATTTTCAAGGGCTTGATATGCAATATTACTTATAGCCCATCAATTTCTGCTCCATATGCTTAAAAGACCAAGCAGATTCTATCCCCCTTCCTCCTCAATCATCCCCTTGAATCATCAGTCTTCCAATGCTTAGATTCTTCCACCCATCACTTTTCTACAAACTTCACTCTGCCTACCTGTTAGGATAGTTGTGGTGGCTGGTGCTGTGTCAAGTTGGTTAAACTAAGTGCATTTCAGAAGCCACATCACCATCTGGTTTGGTTAGAGCTCGCCCAAAGGGGACCCTGTCAGAGATTTAGAAGTTAGAGTCTTCTAAATGATAATAAAATAATGGAAACTATCTTGCCATTACTACCAATAGAGACACAGATACAAATAGTCCAAACAATCCAGTGGATTTAACAGGGAAGGTAATTATATTTACTGTATCTACATTTTATGCAAGAATAAATTAGGCTTCTCAGTGGATATGATTTGCCCAAATCACATGTTTACCAAGTAGAAGTTCCTGTTATTCGACAGTCTCCACCAATTCATGGTCCACCCAGGACCACGGGTGGTCTCTTCTATTTCCATAGATGTAGCCAGCATGTAAGAATCCATTTTGGGAAATAGTGGAAGTGATAGACATAGTACATACACTGAAGGGAGTTTTGGAAGGAAGCTTTCAATCTGTGATCCAGTGAAAGGCAGATGCCAGAGATTTCTGTATAGATTTATGCTTCTAATACGTTAGTAAATAGTTACTGAAATTATCACGAATATTGAAACTATTATGGCTGAAATGGATACCAACTATTCTTAATGCTACATAAAATGAAATCAAAGAACTTCAAGGAAAATTAAATGTACTGAATATCAGTGTGGTCTTTGCCTGACCTGAATCCTGCTGTTTACATGGATGAGAACAAGAAGGTCTCCATATTAAAGTCTGGTTATTGAAATAACCTGTTAAAATAAGCAAACTTTTCACATTAATAAATATCATCATTTTATGCTACAAACTTACAATTGTCTGTAGAAGGCCCCCGACAGTAAATTAATTAAATCTCTGTTCCATTATGGTGTCAGCTAATTTGGAAACTCATTATTTATTTGGTAGTAATTTAGCCTAGCAAATTAATTAGAAATAGCATGAGATAATAGATAATTCAAGATGAAAGTCCAAATCAAAGAAGATGCTCAGTGAAGAGGGGCAGGCACATCATTTTCAGAAGGGCTTTTTGTCTTCCTAAAGACAGACAATGCAGTGCAGAGAAGCTGCTCAGAAGTGGAATTAGTAAAACAGAATCAGGAATTGTCTTTACAAAAATCAGTTCCCCCTGTACAAGGGCTGTCTACAAAAGGCTGCGCCCCAGTGTCTTCACAGAGCTCTTCCTGAGTTCCTCCTCTTCATGCACAGTCTAGGACCCATGGTACAACTGGCCACTGGTCAACAATCTCTAACCACGGGCAGGTTGGGGTATTGGAAACGTGGTGTCTGCAACGATTTGAAAAGAAAGAACCTGTTTGTGGCTGGAGTGACATTACTCTTGTGGGTACAAAGAAAAGTGGTCTCGTGGTACCTGGTAGCTACCTATATTTCCAGATAGTGTCACCTGATGAAAATAATGCTTGAGGCAAAGACTTTTCCTGCCTTCCTCGAGGGTTCAAGGAAGTCCAGGAAAGTTAAAAAAAAAGCTTTTCAGTTCATCCCCTTCATCAATGAGATTGGCAGCTTTTCTCTGGAATTTGGAATGTTCTCTTTAATGTAAAAACTTGCCAGATTTTAACTTTTGACGGCTCTTCATGAGAAAGGTGAGTTCGGCACTGCTAATATGCAGCACGATCATCTGGAAGCCTAAAGTTAATTAAAGTTTTATTCGATCTACAAGGACATGTGAAATACTTACTAGATACCAGTCACTGGGCTGTATGCTCCTCTCACTCAATGGGGAACCAAGCAAACAAGTTCCTTTCTTCAGGGAGATTTCAGTCCAGTGGGGAAACACATTCAAATACATGAGTGAATACACGATTATGAATTTTAATAAATAATATAAAGAATCATGTAGAGTATGATGAAACTTGAGGGACCTAATTTAGATTAAGGGGCCAGGGAACCCGTCTCAAGAAATTACATTTAGGCTGAGACTGGAAGAACAAATAGGAATCATTCCAGATGTAGACAATAAAGAAGAGACTGTTAAAGGAGAAACAAGTTGTGTGAAGACTTGAAGGCTTGGAGGATATTTTTTAAAGTCCAATGAATGAGACGAGAAACGGAATTGGAGCCATGGGCGGAGCTGGATCAAAGGAGCTCGGGAGCCATGTTAACATTTTGTATTTTATGCTCAGAGCGACGGAAAATGCTCAATGCTTTTAAGGAGGAGAAGGACATGATCAAGTTAACTGGCCTAAAATGTCCCACTGGCTGCTGCTGAGTGGAAAAAGAAAAATGAGAAAAGGCATATGGAAGTTTTCAATTCAATAGCCACCTGAGGCCTCAGGCAATCAGGACGGGCCCTTTTTCCTCGGAAGCTTTTTGGGCGTCAATAATTCATTTATCCTCGTATTTCAATATTTGTTTTTTCTCCATTTGTGGGACATAGTTCTGTATAGTGAGAAACGACCTGAAAGAACTATTCAACTGTAGGCACCTACACCCGGTCCTGTTGATTCTGCAGCACCACTTCCATGTGAAGAGGTATTTCAGGGAAGAAGGTTGTGTTTTTTTCTCTGAGGGAACAAAGACCTTTTGACAATGTGTTATGAGGCCCTGCCTTTTCTTTCATCATGATAAAACACTGCAGCAAACACATAAATCACATAAGAATAGACTGGATTTATACCAAGAAAATAACTGTTTATTCTATTGAAAAACATGCAGAAAGAGCTCAGTTGCAAAGAACGATTCCCTGTGACCTTCTACTGTCACTGTGATCCTAAGATCTACCCAGTTGCCTCATATGCTTGAGCAAATTAATGAGAACATATTTTTACTGAATTGAAAACACAGACCTCATTCCCTTAGGATTATCAACTGAAATTTCTTTCACAGGGAGTTAAGGTATTATTTTTTTTTTCTATCTAAAAACCAGATTCAGGTCATATAAAGAATTTCAACAGCTGCTTTAAATAAAGGGAGGAGGGAATTAAATTTATTTTGTAAGATGACACTTATGTTATCACCTTTAGATTGTCTCTTAATGTTCATTGATGTCCCTAATTTTTCCTTTAATCATGTCCATGACCCCTGATTAATAAGAACTTAATAAGTTATCATTAAGAATGTTGACATGGAAGGCAAAAATTATATGTTACTGCAATAAATGAGATTGCTTTTTCTCCTTTTCTCTCTGTATTTTTCTCTCATATATAGTCTACAGCAACTAAAATTATATGTTCCTTCGATATTGGCTGGTTTCCCAGAGACTCTTGGGCACTGATGCCTTTTCTTCTGATTAATTTGAGAAATAATATTCAACACCACTACTCAGAATCTGTTATTTTTTTCAAAAGAGAAACACAGGATAGAAAAAGGGTTTGCTATACCTGCCATCCTGAATCCCAGTCTGGTGATGAAATACAGTGAAGAAGCAGGACTCAGGAACTAAATGTGAGGGTCCTGGCAATGCAAATTTTCATGTGCTCATTTTCCTGTGTAATGTTCATTGAACTAGCATTTATTTAGTGCTACAGTTGTGATATATACACTGAGAGACACAAAGACAAATCGGACATAGATTCTATCCTCAGGAAGCTTACATTATAACAGGAAATTTCATAAATGGTAGTAAGAAGCCATAATAAATTGCAACAAGTGATGATGTACAAATAAAGTGTTATGGCACTTAACAGTAGGGAAGTAGTTGCTTCTGGTTTAGGGAAAGTGGCGAACAACATAAATAAAAAGTTGCATCAGAAGTGAAATTTGAATCGTGTCAAATTTCAACACGTTTGTCCCAGCACATGGTTCTCAACTTTTTGTTTTTGTTGTTCTCAGAAACACTTTATACTCTTAAAACTTATTGAGGACCCCAAAGATCAGTCTTTATATAGGCTATATCTATTGTTGTTTTCTATATTAGAATTTAAAACAGAATTTTTAGACCAGAGTTATTTACTAATTTATTTGAAAAATAGACCCACTACATGCCAACATAAATAATAAATTTGTATTAAAAATATATCCTCTGAAACAAAAAAATTCATCTGGAAGAATGACTCCATTTTACTTTTTTTCCAGATCTATTTACTGTCTAAATTGATAGAAGACAGTTGAATTTTCATAGGTGCTCTGCATTAAATCTTTCATGATATATTGTTTTTGTTAAAGTAGATGATAAAAAAATATAGCTTCAAAAATATATGTGGTTGACAAAGGGAGGAATATTTTAACAGCCTCTTCAGATAAATCGTATGCTCTTCTTTAATACCACACAAAACCTCAACAAATGACTATGGATACATAAATTATACAAAACATCACTTATCCCCCAGTCACAAGAGAATAGTTGATGTCTCCAAAATGAAAGCGAATGCAGGATGTTACTCCACGCTACTCTCCAAGAAAAACCATAAAGGGAAGGACTATTGGCCATAAATGGCCAGAGATCGTCACAGGAATTCTGCCTCTGAGTTGAGCGCCCAGTCTATTTCACCCCAATGATATTTAAGTATTTCCTCCTTTTAGCCTACTACATCATGAAATATAAATAAATATGATCATGTGTTAACTTTGCTTAATACTCTTAAATGGCTATCCATGACTGCAATAGAGTTTACTTAAAAGATATAGACCACATTTCTCAACATGACAAACAGGCCCAATGTTACCTAAATTCTTCCTCCTTCTCCAGATTTGTCTCCTAACACTCTAGGCATTGCAACATAAGCAATAGCAGCTCCTCCCCACCCAAACACCATGCAATTTCTCACCTCTGAATTTGCTCATCCATCTCTCCTTTATGTGGAGGTAAATCTTAATCAACCTTTAACATTCAAGGGACACCATCTGCCATGGTTCTTCAAGTCTGTGTTAAGATTCACTCCTCTGAGCTCTCATAAGATCCAAACTGTCATCTGTCATTAAACTTACTATTTATCATATTGCCTTCCATTTATTCATTTATTTGGCTCTGTCTGCCACTATAACATGAATGTCTTGAATACAGGGAATGTGTGATATGAATGTTTATACTCTAATGCCTAGATCAAAGTTCAGCACATAGTAGGCACAAAAATGTTTGTGGAAATAATGCACAATCATTCTTTTTAAAATTTGTCTTCAATGCTCACATTTGACTGACTTCACACACTTCCGTTCTAATATGACAAGTTCTACTCCCAAACAGGAATCAAATGATTCCAGAGACAAATCGCCTAATGAGGAGAGCTGCAAAGTTAAAGCACTCATCAGTAAACGCCACAACTCTGTCCTGGTTGTTTTTCTTTCAGAAATGACTTTCTGACATAAAATGATCAACATTCAGCCTGCAGCTTCTTGCAGTCCAGAAGCAAATGATTCATACTTCTTGTTATTATATTAATGCATGAGGAAAGCACTAAAAATTCCAAGAAGCCATAATATAGTCACAACATCATAACTTTCTCTCATTACCCGGAAGTCAATGGATCATTTCTCCTGATATGTATTGATTCAGGCTGCCACCTTTGGAGTTTACATTCACTGTCACTCATACCGTTTAGGTCAAATAGCTGTCATTACCACCTTAGTGCATTCACCTATGGAACTACACTAGACTCCATGCAAACACTGTACATTTTGCTCCACGATAATTGGACACTTGCTCTGTCCAAGGTGCTGAAGGTGGAAAGAAAAGAGGTTCTTGCCTAAAGACCAACAGTTTTCCCTACACTGTGCTAAGCACTTTACCATCACTATGTCATTTAATCTTCACAACAAACATGTGAGATAGTTGGTGTTATTGTCCTCATTTTATAGATAAGGAAACTGAAGCTCTGCCTGGTTGATCCTGAACACCATGGCTATGCAGGGGACACAAATGTTCCTAAGGACCTGCCTGGGTCTCAGCCCTCACTTGCCCCTGCAGGTCCCTTGAAGGCCACTCCTGACCTTCTCACATCTGCTAATTCCTCTGCAGAGCTCCCCAGTGCTACTGCTGTGCTGCCAGAGATGCAAGATACCAAGACTTGCCTGATTCTCTGCTCTCATCTGTGAGCTGTCAATCATGAGCCATAATCACTGCTTCTGTGCTGGTGCTCTAGGTGGCTTGCTTCCATTTATTCAATTCATTTTTCAATATGTGCCAGGCACCGAAGAGGACATGTAAAGCACCTGCCCTCATGGAGCTTTCATTCCAGGAGATGCAGCTCTGCCCTTGGTCCTTAGCTGATTAGCTCTGGAGCTTTCAGAGCTAAATGGGCCCCAGGAGACAGACTAAACCCGCCTCCTCCCTTACTCCAGGTACCTCATAGCATTGTCTAGAGGAGTTTTCCACAAGCCTGGTCTTAGGAGTCTTTGTCAATAACCCTCTATGTTCTTGGGCCTCTAGAGCTGGCCACAGAAACTTGGAACACAATGGGACTCTCAGGGTACAATTTGTTTTTACCTCAATTAAGAACATTCACTGTTGTATCTCTCCTTTAAGTCAAGTGTTGATGATTCTAGAACTCTTGAAATAATCTTTAGCTTGGCCGTCTCCAGAAGCTGAAGGGCCAGCACACAAATGGTCCCCAAGAGAATGGAGGCTATCCAGATATACATTAGCGTCCTGGACTACACACACATGAATAAAATAATACCTCCTTAATAATCAGTCCTTAATAGGACTTCAGGTGGTTATGCTGAGGTAGAGGTCATAGAACATGAATTAACAACTTAGCCTTTCCTCCCTTCTCTGTGGAAGATGCCTTCCTTCTTTCTAATGCTGATTCTCTTGTGCTCATGGCCTTCCTGCTCAGCCACCCTACTGCATCAGCCACTACTAACTTGCTCTAGTTTCAACTTCTCTCTCACTACTGTTCTTCATTTCCACGTAGTGTTCAAGGCCCTCTCATCTAAAAAACAAAGCAAATCCCTCTCTTGACACTTTAGGCTTTTCATTGTCCTCATTTCCTTTCCAGTGATGCTTCTTTTAAGATTTGTCTGCATTCAATGTTTCCACTTCTTCAATGCTCATTCTGCTTGCAAATCATAGAAGTCTG